CTTTTTTTATAAATAAAATATATATCGAAAATAATGTAGCATATTTATTTAAGAAATATTTTACTCTAGAATATTTAATTTGCATGCAATTTAATAATAAAAAAGTCAAAAAAAAAATTAAATGTTTTATTAAATCATAGCAATGAAAAATGAAAATCACTAATAATAATTTGAAATAGGTTTTATTTTTATTTTAATTAAGTTATCAAAATGATGTGTCATCCACATCACCTCATTAAAGCCACACAATAAAAAAAAGTCAATGTGTTAATCAGTTTAAAAGGTAACAGGTTACCCATTGCTATAATGGGTAGATTTTTTAAAATGCGATGCCTTAATAAAAAATAATCTTAAAGTATATTGCTGTAATAAATAAAAACAAAAGTAGAATGCTATAATAAGAAAATTTATGAAAGTAAGTTGCTATTTCATGCATTTAACCCTAAAAAAATGTAACACTCTGTTGGACTGGTAACTGCACTAGGGAGCCGCCCACGTGATATTGTCCGCTCTGGGCTGCCTCGGGGTTTCCCCGCACGGCAACAACCCCTCACGGTTTTGTTTTCTAAAACGCGTCACTGGTAGGAGAAGACTCCCACTTCCTTATAAGGAAGAGAAGACTCCCTAGCCTCACTGATGTGGGATGCTCCTGCATTGCTACARGAGCGGTGGGTTTAAGGACGAGGATTTGACCTGCCGAGGGAACACCGAGTCTGCTGACCCAACACACTCAAACTGATTGTACTTTAAATCTCGTAGATGTATACACTACAAGAATCAGAGAATGTCAGGTTTGCTAAGGACAATTTTATGTTGGAGGTTAATGCGAATGTGGATTATGTATTTGTAGTTGCACTCATCGCGGTTAGTGACGCTATGAAAAGCAACACAAATACATTAGTAGACATAGTTACAGAAGTTGCGGTTGAAGCAGCTTTTGGGGGAGCTGCAAGTCACTAGTCGTATTAGTTGTATCCACATGCAAGTTCATATTGGAGCAACTGTTTTGTCAAAGTATATGGTTCTTTAGTAGAAACTCTATGGCATGGATTCCAAAACATTACTTTCATTTGTTTTTCTTCTCATTTATGTCGTATGAATTGAATAGAAATAAAGATGATTATAGGTATCTAATGGATGTCAAAAGGAATAAAGAAGTGACACAATAAAACAATTAGAGACCACGATTTTACTCCGAGGTTATAAGTTAGTGTATATTGAGCATGATATCCTATGCAAGAAGGTTACTTCAATTCCACCAAGATATGATGTACAATTTGATTTTTTAACCTTTAATTTTTTGTAGTTTCAGTATTATTTGATGTCTGGTCAAAGTGAATAAAGATTTAAATATATTGTCTATATTATCAATCCAAGACATTACAACAAAAGTCAACTTGCAAACAATTAATCAGTCAAAATATCCTTCTCCCATACGGTGTACACTACAAAACAAAAGATCTTTACAAATGGTCGAATCCAGCAGTGATCAGCCAGAAAAATTGGCCAGCCATAGATTATGAATGGAAATGTACTATCAAAAAGGGTTGGTAGTGATTTCTTTTATCGGTGGATCATCGACTGATAGTCGCCATCGGCAATCCCTCACTAAATATTTTCAAAATTAGTTATGAGAAGTTAATTAACCTTAATCATTTTGGTGGATTAAAATCACGGTCGGACTAGACCATCAATAATACGTCGATGAATTTTTTAATTAAAATTATTTAATTATTCATTGTATTAAATAATAAAATAATGAGAAGAAACTTAGCAACGGATTTGGCAGACGGTGAGTAATTCTCCACTGATCACAGGAGTATTTAGTTTATTTTTATTTTTTCTTTTAAACTTTTAAAATTATTATTGGTAGAAATTTACTC